TGCAGATGCTGAAAAAGCTAGGAACTTCGAGAGTCAAGTACATGACCGCCGCTTTCAACTTGCCACTGTCCACCCTGATCATTACCGAGATGTGGAAAATGGGTACGATCAGTCCCCTCCTTAAGCCAGGGAAGAAGGCGGTACGCAGGAGACTCTTACAGACCCATCTCCCTCCTATCCCCAGTAGCAAAAACCATGCAAGCACTACTCCTCCCCAGCCTGGCGAAGCATCTGAATCTAGCTGAACACCAACATAGATTCCGAAAAATGCACAGCACGACAACAGCATTAAGCACCTTTACCATACAGATTAGCGAAGGTCTGAACCAAAGTCGACCCTGTCGATAGGACGGTCCTAGTCGGAGTGGACCTGTCGAAGACATTCGACACGGTGAACCACGCGACCCTCAGCTAGCTCGGACAAAACGGTGGATAATCAGCTATCTGTGGTCGTCAGTCATCAGTCGAATTCCGAAATGCCAAGTCCAAGCCGCGTAGAATTAAACAGGGGGCCCCCCAAGTCGACGTACTCTCCCGACACTGTATAATCTCTACATGACCAAGTTTCCTCCGCCGCCAGCAGGAGTAAACTTTGTAAGCCACGCTGATGACTGCACTATAATGACAACTGGCCCAAACATCGACAGACTTTGCGATCAAATAACCGACTATCTCACCGATCTTTCCAATTTCTTAACTGCATGAGGTTTCCAAATCGCCGCCGTAAAATCCACCGCCAAACTCTTTACAACCTGGACCAAGGAGGTGGGGCTAGAACTGGACGTCTTCGTCGATGGCGCCAAAATACCGACGACTTATCACCCTAAAATTCTGGGAGTGACCTTCGATAGCCTTTTCTCCTTCTCCGCGCATGCCACAGCCACGTGTAACAAACTACGAGCCAGGAACAAAGTCCTCAAATCGCTAGCCGGTAGCACCGGGGGAGCCGATAAAAAAAACTTTGCTCGAGACCTACTAGGCGGTTGGCCGGTCAGTGGCAAACTACGCGGCACCAGTGTAGACGGCGGGGACAAGCGACACCCAGTGGAGGAATCTCCAAACCTGCCGGAACGCAGCTCTACGTACGGCTACAGGTTGTCATCTCATGTCGTCCGAGAACGAGCCTCAGCACGCGCAATTACAACATCGTCTTAGGTGGTCGACCGCCGCCCATAGATTTAGAGGAAACAGAACTGCCGAGAGAGACCAAATGCACCCTAGCACAACTCCGTTCGGGGTGGTGTCACCGACTCAACAGCTACCTCTCCCGGTTGAATACAAAAGTGGCAAACACCTGCCCCGCATATGGGCAAGGTCCAACCTACGACCCTGACACCAGAAGCGCTCTGGACCGCGCCTATCGACGCTGCCCGCTCTCTCGGCCTCAGTCTCAGGCTTACAGAGTCGGAGGATGAAGACGACGATACATGACAGAACCTGGTGAGTTGAGCACTGCTACTTCAACAACAAACACAACCAGGGATGCATTCCTAAGTAAAACTATTCTTCAGCGGCAATGCTCAGAGCGCTTCAAGCAGCATTATTAACTTGTAGCAAATATAACATTATACGGTGGTTCTAATACATTTTTTATAATTACACTGGTCGACGGCCAAAATTTACCAGAGACGCCGTTATGAAATTCGTATGTAAAATCACCCCCTGATTCCGAAAATCAAGGTTATTTTTAATTTTATGGTACCGTTTTTGAGATATTTGCAATTTACCGTTTTTGCAAAAAAAAAAAAAATTGGGTCCACTTAATCATATATATCTCAAGAACGAATTAAGCAATTCCAAAACGGTTTGAAGCTTTTAAAAGGTAATAAAATTTTCTATAAGCTGTGCATACAACACTTTTTGCTAGGCCCTGTAGATTCAAAGATAACGAACAATCATTACCGATTTTTTCAATTTTTTTTGTAAAAATATAAAAAAAATTGTACTTTGCGGGGAAGGATCTCGAAAACCTTTTATTTTTTTGCAGATTTTTTTTTTCTCCCTAAGCTCTGTTGTATTACAAAAAAAATAAGCTATCATCGAAGAAAATCGATGCAAAACTACGTAAGTTATAAGCGATCAAATAAAAATACCCAGGTTGCGCAATTTCAACGTATACCTCAAAACGTATGTATGGTATAAAGAAGAGTGAAATATCTAGCTATGCTCTGTTTCTATTGAGTTAAAAGTTCAATTTATGAATGAAATTACCCATATTTTTAACTTTTTTTTTAAATTTATTTATGTTTATACTATATTCTAACAATCTTTATCTTAATTTGATTTTACTATGTTGTCGAAATAATTATGTGTTCTACTTTGACGCTTATTCAGTTTAGGATCGGTTTCTCTTATGAGAAACCAGCAGTAATCACCCATCATTGCGACGTCCCAGAATCCTTGATATCGATTCTCAATTAATTTCATTTGCTGATGAAACCTTTCGCCATGTTCATCACTTTCGTCGCCAAGATTTGCCGGAAAAAAGCTCAAATGTGAGTGGAGAAAGTGAATTTTTAAAGACATATTTACGCCCATTTTCGCATAATTATTGATTAGGTCGTTCACTATCTGCTCGTAGTTAGGGCTTTTGTGTCTACCGAGAAAAGAAGCAACGACCTTTTCAAAGGATTCCCACGCTGCTGCCTCAACTGATGAGAGTAGTCCTTTGAATTGATTATTGTTGATCAACTTTCTTATTTGTGGTCCAACAAAAATACCTTCCTTTATCTTGGCTTGAGAAATATCTGGAAAAACTGTTTTCAAATAGTCGAATGCTTCGCCTTCTTTGTCCAAAGCCTTAACAAAGTTTTTAATGAGACCGAGCTTGATGTGTAAGGGTGGAAGTATGATTTTCTCTTTCTTGACAAGAGGGGTGTATTTGATGTTATCCACACCAACGGTAAACTCGACTCTTTCCGGCCAATCCTTTCTGACGTAGTGGTCCTTACGAGCTCGGCTATCCCACTTGCAGAGGAAGCAGCAGTGCTTGGTGTAGCCACTTTGTAGACCGCATAGCATTGCAACGACTTTGAGATCAGAACATATTTTCCAATCATGCTCTTCATATTTGATAAATTTGAGTATTTTTTGCATTTCCTCGTAGGTTTCCTTTGTATTTACTGCATGTGCAATCGGGATAGAAGGCTTTTTGTTACCAATATGCAATAATACAGCCTTCAAACTCAGTTTATTGCCGTCTATGAACAATCGCCACTCTTTTGAATCATATGTTTGACCAAACTCTTTGAATAAACCAGGGATGTCGTTGCAGTAGCATATACTGTCTTTCTTGGTATAGTGTTTGGAAAATGGTTCGTGACGAGTTCTACTATATGTCACCTTAACATCGGATGACACAAATTTAAATTGTTGCATACGAGAAGTGTGGATCTCGGCCTTTTCCTTGGATAGTTCCAAATCTCTTATCCAATCATTAAGTTGTGCTTGTGACAGAACGTTTCTTTCGTTTTCCATGCGAAATTCAGTACAACTTGATCCCCCGCACTCAGATGTTACTGTTGACAATGGAACTGGATCCGCAACTGCCGTTGAATGTAGTACTGGTAATGTCACTGTAGGTACGCTAGCATAGGTTACTCCTCTTGATCTTCCAACGCCAAGTACTTTTGTTTGACAAATATAACACTCTATTGAATGGCAAGTAGGTTCTCTCCATATCATTGGTGTATCAAATTTTGTTTGTTGTCCTGATTCCCACTGAATCAATTCTACTCGACACGATGTACACAAAGTGTTCGGTGTCCATGGTTTTTCAGCATTTTTAGGCTCAATTCCAAAATACTTGGAGTATAAAGTTTTGATATGATCTGAGAACACTCGTCGTCGCCTTATGATAGTATATTGGCCACACATGAAACAGAACATATCTGGATCCTTATTACACTCAAATTCTCGCGTCCTTTTACTCATTTTATTTTTTTTAATAAATCACGGTTTTGAAATTAGACTTATGAACTGAACTATCTCCGGCGAGCCTTGAAGATGTTATGAAGTTTCAAAGCGCATTAACTCATATTTATACTCGGAACAAGAATAAAATTGAAAAAATCAAATCTTACCTAGACAGAAAGGTTCCTTTTTATAACAAGCCGGGAAAAGAAAATACTACCTGTTTTAGATGTAGGCTTTAGAAATTTTCTGTGTCTTATAATTTTGAAAATCTACCTGCATACTTACCCATAACTGACGGAAATACATGTTTATAACTACATGCCTACAGCAGGTTTCGAACCCAACCACTCTTCCTTTCGATGCAACCACTCTACCTACTATAATACAATTCGAGTATTAAAAGTACTATTTGATTTATTTAAAGAAAAAGTGTTATCATTGTTATGGTGTTATTCGTTTATCCGGATAATATCTCACTTGCACTTTATACCTTTAATATATGTATGTATGTATAGGTACATACATTGAAATTGCGCAACCTGGGTATTTTTATTTGATCGCTTATAACTTACGTAGTTTTGCATCGATTTTCTTCGATGATACCTTATTTTTTTTGTAATATAACAGAGCTTAGGGAGAAAAAAAAAATCTGCAAAAAAATAAAAGGTTTTCGAGATCCTTCCCCGCAAAGTACAATTTTTTTTATATTTTTACAAAAAAAATTGAAAAAATCGGTAATGATTGTTCGTTATCTTTGAATCTACAGGGCCTAGCAAAAAGTGTTGTATGCACAGTTTATAGAAAATTTTATTACCTTTTAAAAGCTTCAAACCGTTTTGGAATTGCTTAATTCGTTCTTGAGATATATATGATAAAGTGGACCCAATTTTTTTTTTTTTGCAAAAACGGTAAATTGCAAATATCTCAAAAACGGTACCATAGAATTAAAAATAACCTTGATTTTCGGAATCAGGGGGTGATTTTACATAAGAATTTCATAACGGCGTTTCTGGTAAAGAGAAAAAGTTGAAATTTGTGGTCCAGTGTTATTAATCAGGGTAAATAGATTATATTGCATTTTTTTCAAAAATTAATGCATTTTATAGATTTTTTTTCAACTATTTCTTAAGTTTCTTTCATTAGTGCTGAAAAGCAACCGTGCATGTAAGAAATTGTATGCTGCCTAAAATTTCACCTCTGGAAACTTCATCACCATAAAGGACTTCACCACAGTTTTTTTACTGGGTATACTGAGATTTGGCGTATGCAGACAATATTTTTGACGTATTGTGCAAGAAAAAAGAGAAATTGGGTGCACTTTGAATAGAGATCAAAAGTGGTACCATTGGAAAACTGGAGTCCTGCACTTTTAGGTGCGGGAGCCTTCTACATTTAGAGATACTTAGTATTAAAGTTTTTTATTTGCTTAGTAAACAACACTAGGGGTCTTCAACAAAAGTGATAAATGAAAGGGATAAACTGCTTAAATTTATCAGTTTATCTGCCTTTTTTCATGAACGCACCTTGGATAATAATTGCATACAACTGTTTATTATTTCACTTATATGGCTAGTTACGTTTCATTCTTACCTCGTACATTGTGTTCATTTGCTTTTATGTAGCAAAAGCGACTACCTGGCAACCTGGAAAGGTTGCATCTTCCTGACATTTATACATTTATCCACCAAAGTTGTTTGATAAAGTGACAAAACTTTGGTTAAATAGATTTCCATACAAAGTTTGACAGTTCATTTATCAAAATGATAAGTTTATCACGTTATCAAGTTGATCAAGAGTTTATCACTTTTGATGAAGACCCCTAATATGTATTAGACAAATCAACACAAACATACGCCTCAAAAACACTTAACATCAGTTTAAATTGTTTAGCTATTATTAATTTGTTACTGTTTTCCCTAGAAAATCACTTATATTTTATTTATTTTATATTGTTTCATAATTTCACAACTAGAGTAAAGCCATATATACAGTTCAATGCGAGCGTGAGCGTGATTTTTTTATTTTGACCAATATCTTCGTTATTACTCAACTTTTTGCTATAGTTGAGACAAGAAAAGAGAGAGAATTAAAATATCTTTCAGAATTATAGAATAAAAACTTATTTAAAATGCATAATATGCCTTTTTTCGAGCTCACACTCAACTGTGTGCGTACGCAAAGCATTCGTATGTGAACGGCAAGTTTTGACAGATAATTGTGAGCGTCCATAAAGGGCCATTCACATACAACTTTCCTCGCTTTGCTTGACAGTTCAAACTTTGACAACAAAGCGTGAAACGCAGAAGGTATGCTACAATAAACGCTTTGACAGCTTTTGCGTTCTCCTTTTCCTCCATATATTTTATCTGTAAAATAGATAACAATATAATAATATGTATTAATAAAAGCAATAAAAATTCCTATTTACCCTATTTTTATCATTAAATGCAAATGCAAGCGCACGAGAAAAGATACATGTAGACAGCTGATTGCCAAAGCGGGCAAAAGTTGAGAGTTGCCCAAGATTTTGGCCCCTATTGCGAGTGTCGACTGGCAGTAGAATAGAAATTTCTCGATCGAGTCGATCATCTTTTATTTTGCTATTGCGTAACTTGATCGATAAAAATTGGTACTATTGTGAATGGTTGACTGAATTGTAAACAGCTGTTTGTTTGTTTACATTTGTTTCTTTAGTGTTTCATTTACATCATTTTTTAAATAATTGCTTTTATTATAAAATTTAAAAAAATGATACAGCTGAAATATGGTTTAGTGATTAGGAAGATGATGTGGAAGCTAATAGATTAGTAGAGTTGGCTAAAGCAAGGAGGGAAGTACGAAATTCGGCGGACCCCTTGGAGTTGGAAGATGAAGTGTATGTACATATGTGAATTTTATGAATAGGAGTTACGTTCCAGATGCTTCACGGTTTGCAGGTTTTACAGGATTTGCAGGAAAAGCTGTTTTCCTCATTAATAAACTTTATGGAAGTTTAAGAAATATGGTACGGTTTAGCTATTTGTACAATGATGTTGGGTATTTGTGTCCAAATGCGTGACCCGAGTTTAAAAACTTTAACATACAAGTGTAGTGAAAGAATTAAACTTTAATTTAAAATAAAGATTTAAAATTTCCGAGCATTAGTTGATTAATAATTTATGCAATATTTTGGAAACTTTGATGTTGGTTCTCCGCAAAAATACTGTGGATGACGTAGCCGGAGTTATATGCACAAGATATATTGCATATCTTTCACAATAGAAGCGGAGCTACCGCCCCTACTCTTTCCGAAAATTCCTTGCCTATGTCCTCATACTCTTGCATCAGCTCGACCAACCGCGCAAGTAGCCTTTTGTTGCTTACAATTTTTGATCTGTAATTAAGACACATACATACATATGTATAATTCATAATTTGGTAATTCTCTACAACCCTAAAAAAGGTGCGGAAAAGTCGGGAGGGGTACCAAACGACGCGTTTCGGCCCCCCTAATAACAATCCGGAGGGGGGAGGGGGGGCTAATATTATTAACCATTTAAAAGTTATGAACAAAAAACTTTTGTTAAATTTCGTTGTTTTCTATGGGCAATTACACCGCCAAAGATTCACTAAATCACCTGTTCTCACTTTTTAAACACTATTAAAATATATAATTTAACTTATTTATTAAAGAAACACAGTTTTATCAACCTAAGATAGATTATTTTGTTATTAAAAAGAAGTTGACAATCTTTGCGAGCTGAAACGCGAGATTCCAAAATAGCTATAGTGCTGCCACTGTATTAGTATTTCGTAATAATTCACTTTTCCTTATGAGGTGTGTGCACTGTTCAATGCTTTCCGGTATCTTCTTTCGTTTAATATATATATAATGAAAATTTTAAATAAAAAATCGCGCGATTTTTTATTAAAAATTTTCGCCTGCGGCGCTTTTTCCATAAAAATCAATACTTCGATAAATAATGAAAATTTTTAATAAAAAATCGCGCGATTTTTTATTAAAAATTTTCGCCTGCGGCGCTTTTTCCATAAAAATCAATACTTCGATAAATAATGAAAATTTTTAATAAAAAATCGCGCGATTTTTTATTAAAAATTTTCGCCTGCGGCGCTTTTTCCATAAAAATCAATACTTCGATAAATAATGAAAATTTTTAATAAAAAATCGCGCGATTTTTTATTAAAAATTTTCGCCTGCGGCGCTTTTTCCATAAAAATCAATACTTCGATAAATAATGAAAATTTTTAATAAAAAATCGCGCGATTTTTTATTACAAATTTTCGCCTGCGGCGCTTTTTCCATAAAAATCAATACTTCGATAAATAATGAAAATTTTTAATAAAAAATCGCGCGATGGTATAGCGAAATTTGCTATTATATTTTGGTTACAATATCTTATTTAGATGAAAGTAAAAAGAAGAAGAAGTAGTGTATAGTGTAAACTGAGTATAATAGCGCAAATGAAATGTGAAATAAAGTGGCAATACCAGCGATTTGAGGTTATAATAATTTTAGCAGGCGCAAAGTTTGTTTACTCTGTTTTATTAACGAAATATATAAAATAAAAGTGAATAAATGATTTGGTTTGCATAAAATAATAACCGGAAACGTTTTAGTAGTGTTTTAAAAGTGGAAACTGGTGATTTAGTGCATTTTTGACGTGGTAATTGCTCATATAAAACAACGAAATTTAACAAGTTTTTTGTTCATAACTTTTAAATGGTTAATAATATTACCCCCCCCTCAGGATTGTTATTAGCGGGCCGAAACGCGTCGTTTGGTACCCCACCCGACTTTTCCGCACCTTTTTTAGGGGTTGTTACCCCATCCTAGAGAATTACCCATAATTTTTTACAAGTTCCAGTTTAGTTGACTTACTTTTTATCCATTATAGTAACACTTTCTTATGTAAATTTTATAAACGCAAATCCAACGACTAAAAAACAGCAATAGAAGGATGAGCGATTAAAAAGTACTGACAGTCGCTAATTGAGCGACTAAGCGACACTCACAATAGCATCGATAATCGACAATCGCTTAATAGTCGTTTATCTACTGCCAGTCGACATTCGCAATAGGGGTGTTTGCTTCGTTTTGCTTTGCTTTGCTTCAAACGTTTTTTATGTGAGCATACTCATGCATATGCCTACATCGATCTTATGGGCTGTTTTTGCTTATGCGTAAAAGCACATTTACCGCATTTAGCTCTAAATGCTACACTAAATGTACATTTATCCATACAAAATTCGTCACCTAAATGCAACTCCATTTCTGCATTAAGGGTCTAAATGCTAAAAGCAACCCTGTGATTTTCAAAAATTTCCACGATTCGAACATGGTTTAATGAGAAAAAGTGGCAACATTGGTTTTTCGCGTATACAGTTCCTAGCTGCGTTTCAGTGATCGCCGATCGAGATTTCATTTATTATTTTACATTATTTGGAAAAAGAAAAGTTGCGCAAATTCAACATCGATGTGATACTGATAGAAATCCGGCTCAATTAGTGATCAACTCGTGTGTTTTTTCCTATTTAATTGAGGAAATTTCAATTGACAACACCGACAAATGAATATATACGTAAACAAATTTTCGGTTATGGTTAAAACAATTCGAGTTTTTGTATTGAACTTTTTGTTTAAAATTTCTTTTTCCCTTTTCAGTAGGGGTTTTTGCACATTATCTTCTCTGTGCGAATTGATCGTGATACATACGGATCTGAATAAGCGACAGGAACACGGCCGTTTGTAAAATGCATAAGATTTCGAACTCGCGTAAATGTACATTTGCTAAATGCGATAACGTGAACGCTCTTCGAAAAAATATGTTCGAAAGTGCTAAATGTTGCAGCTAAAACGCTGCATTATATGTCAAAGCAAAGAACTATCAAGCAAAGCGAAGAAAGTTGTATGTGAATCAGCCTTAAGAATACAAATGGAATTCTTTGCCTTTGCGAACGTTCATGCTCACGCTCACATTTAACTGTATATCAAGCTTAAATGGCGGCTTGCGCATTGACATAAAACGAATGAGCTACCAGATTGTACAAAATGAAAAATAAAATAAATGAAAGAGAAGTACGTCGATTTAAAGAAAATGAAGTTTGATTTTACTTCTTTTTCTCTATTACTGGCAACACAGAAAGGAGAATTCTACTTCGTGAGGGTTATAATCTATAAGTGCGGCCAAAGGCCGCCTACGCAAAAGGTGTTCGTTCAGCCCCTCTTCTTCGGCAACACAGAAAAAAATAATTTTACTTCATGAGGGTTCTAATCTCTAAGTGCGGCCAAAGGCCGCCTACGCAGAAAGGTGTTCAGTCTCTCTTCTTCGGTAACACAGAAAGGAGAATTGTACTTCGTGAGGGTTACAATTCCTAAATGCGGCCGAAGGCCGCCTACTCAAAAAGGGGTCCTCTGCAAAAGGTGTTCAGCCCCTCTTCTTCGGCAACACAGAAAGGAGAATTCTGCGTAGTAAGGGTTATAATTCCTAACCGCGGCCGGAGGCACCCCACGCAAAAGAATTTTTTGCAACAAGTCACAAGTCTTTTTAACAAGCATATTTTTGCACATAGTTAATTACGTATCTTTTTCCAAAAACATGCATTTTTATGAAAAAAATTGTCATAATTTCGTTTTTTAGTTTTTCTCGAAATATGTGTTTAATATACATACATATGAAATGAAAGGCCTTTCAATTACCATTCCAACCATGTCCACATTTTGAAATTGGTACAATAGTTTTCTAAATATAAGCTTTTGAAAATATTGTACATCCACTTTATGTTCACTATGTTGACTATGTTCAAACAGGCACCCAATTTTGCAATTAACAATCTTTTCATCAATTTAAGCCTTAATTGTTACCCAATTTATCATACAAAAATTAAAATTATTAATTGCCTATTAATAATTAATTGGCAATTAATTTTTGTCAGATTCTCTATGCAACCCTGCTAGGTATGTTTAATTTTGACTTGGAGGTATGTTTATTGAACAAAGAGCAATCAGCTGTTCGTTTCTGGTCCTATTTTACAGCT